CTCAGCCAGTGAGGAATACTGCTTATATTTATAGTTCTTTCTCCTCAAAGCAGGTGCTTCCAAACATCCCTATTCACACACCAGCCCTGCAGCGTTCCCTCCCTGAAATCCCATCACCTTGCTCAGGCAGCACGTTTAGGCGAAGACTCTAATGTAACAGGCCTGCCTATTGTATGGAATAGTTGCTGTTCAATATTTTTTCAAGAAAATAATATTTTTTCAAATAAATCATTAGCAAACTGCATCTCAGTAGCTAACATATTTTGTAACACTAGAATTTGTATTGTAAGAAGAGGAACAAAAAAAATCACAACAGATTTCTTACAGTCTGCATTACAGCTTAGGTTTTATTTTGAAGTGTCAGACTCTGTGTCACTGGAAGCAGACATTCCCTTGGTGGTATCTGTACGCTGCCGACGCAACAGACGCTCAACTTGTCAGGCTCTCTCTGCAGAACTCCATGAAGACAAGAAAGAAGTTTTTTTTTTATGAAAGCTACAGCAAAACTTAACGCATGAGGCCTTTAACCAAGCAGCTAGATAATCGTCTAAAAGGAGGTTTGCTCCAAACTGGTGGTCTGCAGGATTTATTTTCATTCTGGCTGCATGCAACGACCCAAGGCACTCTGCTCCTGCCAGACCAAGACACCACTTGTCAGAAGGATCAGTCACCTCCAGGCTTTCCAGGGCCCTTGGTGGTTAATGCCTAGGGCCGGTGAGAGTCCATCACTTCTCTGCTGGGTGCTCAGTGTCCTCTGACCGATCATCTAACACCCTGCTCTCCTAACCATCGCCATGACCCATCTACCAGCCTGCAATCTTGACTGACTTGACTGATCTTTATTCATGTGAGGATGATGATGATGATGACAATGCAAATGTCACTATTCAAGGCAGGCAACACTGCTCATACTGAAAGATTTCCATGGGGGTCTCCATCCCATTTGTGAAGTGGCAGAGATCTTCTGAACAGTGATCTGCTCTGAAAGGCTGGGCTCCAGAGAGCTGCCCTCTCCTCCAGCTCATGATTTTGCTGCTGCCTCTTATTGACACATGACATATACACTGCATCTGGGTTTTTAAATGTTTGTGTTTCGTAAATCTCTGCAATATGTCACAAACACAAACTTTCTTATATGAAAATTGCTTTGCTGTCCATCAAACCAGTATCACACCCCTCAGAATTTTTTTTCTTCACAGTTAATGTGATACGGCTGTGATCTTTCTTCTTTTAAGGAAGGGCTTGTTGAGAGACAGGCAGGCATACCGTATATCTCCTAAATTCAGCAGCAGATCTAGGAGTGGGAGAATCCAGAAATCCTTCTAGCTCTCTCTTCCATGGTCTGAACTGTACAAAACACAGTATGAACATTTGGCAACACAGTCCATAAAGTTTAGAAGACATAACTTTTGTAGGAAAGTATCCCAACACAGCACTGACTTCTGAAAAAACTGCAAACCAGCATTGGATGTATACTGTAGAAGACTTGGGTGTAAAGGAGAAATCTGGGAAACACAAATGAGCTAAAAAAGATTTCAGATGTTATTCCTGCAAGAAGGACCACGTGGGAAAAATCAGATCAGAGTCTCACTGACTTTGACAGCGCCCATCCTGGACCAACATGCACTTCCAACTGAAGCAGCAACACATTCATCTCCTGTTATTATGTCCCTTCTGTAACAGATGTATTCTTGCATTTAACCAAGCAGTTTTCACCAAGTTTTTCAGTGTTTCAGAATAAGCCTCTGAAGTCCTTATCTTCCAGTGAAATCTACAAGAACTTCTTGAGCTTCAAGAAACTTGTTACTATGAAAAACAAAACAAATTTTAGAAAAACACAGCTCAGAAATTGCCTCTGGACAAGGACATAAAATACTGGCATATAAAACCCGATTTTCTTAACTACTGCCTAATGTAAATGATCAATTTCAAGAAATATGTATTTTAAAAACAAGGCAGTGCATATAAAGGCAAACATTAGCTGAAGTCTTGCATAACTGATACTACAATACCCTCTTGTGGTCAAATAAAAATGTGTTGTCTAAACATCTGACCTTTATCCTCCATAAAAAGCCTCTCTAGACATATTTTCAGGCGGAAACAACTCAAATATTTTTCACAGATGAATTTGTACTGTGTATCACCACTTGTCTGGCCACAACAAAAGACTAACCTCAGCTAAATTCTTACTCCGAATGATGGGCAACAAGACTGCCTGTTAGATAAACTAATCCCAAAACAAACTACTAAGCAAAGGCACCACGATACTCCTAACTTTTTCCAAGTTTCCTGTCCCCAACCAGAAAAAATAAAGATGCTATAATCAATTTACATAAATACATATGGCATGGAGCCACAATAAACATCAACCTATTCTACTAGAGGATGAAAAGAAGTACACAGTAAATCAGTCATACCAATTCAAGTGAACTCCCTGCTTAAACACCCGGAGTTGTTATAATGAACAAATAAAATGCTAACCTGGCAGATGTTAAGATGAGGGGAAACAGGATCTGCAGCAGTTCTACTGAGCTATTAATCTAGTAACTGGCCTACATGGGCTACCAGTATAACCAGTATGGAATCTAAAGTAACGCCCAGAAATGTCATCCTTGCACTCACCTTGACGTGCTTTAATAGTGCATAATCACTCCCTTAATGACTTCTGGTCCCAACAGAAAATGGAATAATTTTCATAATATCAGCTCTTAGTTTTTGGAACAGCAGCTACATTTTAAAGTCCTATAATATTTTAAAAACCACAACTTATGTAAACAGCCATGATCCATCAATTATTTCCTGAGCAATGACCTGAATGCTATCACGTATCAAATATCTGCATGTAGACTCATAGCTTACTTTTGTTTAAAGCATAAAGAAGTCCTAAACAGTTAAGACTTCCTTCATTTGTCAGGTTGTGGGGTCTCAGACCAACAGATCTGACTTTACCCTATGAGTTCACTTTCAGTAAGCTGTTCTGAGAGGCACTTCATAGCCCTGCATCTGCATCAAAACCAGGGCAGTTACAACTCCTGCATCTTTGCAGACACCACTTAATGTCATAGGCTTTAAACACCCGCCTGTAATCTCTCCATCCAGTTTACTCAGTGGCTACAAGTAGTCATCTGGAAGCTATGCACTCAGCTCAATAACCATTTTTAGTTTATTATTATGCTTAATTTGTAGAAATTTACTTGAAGGAAGGATTAGAATTAAAATAACAGAAGAACTTTGTAAACAAGAATTAAAAAGTGTTCCACGCACAGGAACAGATTTCCCGTCAGGATCCTTTCCTGATCTGATCAGGAGCTAAAATCCCACACATGCTAATTATTGCATTGGATCTTCCAAACATGCCTCAGCTTCCTTTCAAAGCAGTTAGATGCTGCTAAAACCCCATTCTCCAACCAGTTGCACACTCTCCAGATTGGAGAACAAATGCAGCAGGATAAGCAGGTTCCACAACAGGAACAACTACCAGGCCAGGTTAGCAAACAGTTCATTTCTTCAGTTCATGGTAATGCTGTGTGGATACATGACTTTTTTTGCTTTTTGGCTGAAAGAGATAAAAAACACTGTTTAGGTTTCAATTACCTCAAAAAAAACCAAGAAAACAAACAAAAAGTCTACTAACATTTCATTCAAATTCAAAGCAAACATTGAGGTTCGAGGTGGAGTTTACCTCTTCTTACGTTACTGCAGTCTTCAAAGTCATAATATTTTTTCCAAATATAGAATTATTTCTTGCTCAGATATGTCTACATGAAGTGTTTGGATTGTTGTATAGTTCTTATAATATGTTGTATATTTTAATAATATATATTATAATATGTATATTTTAATAATATATATTATAATATGCATTAATAATCTAATGCATATTTAAAAATAAATTATTTGCCAAATTCAGCATGTATTTGCCAATACTGCAAGCAAGTACGTTCGCCAAAAAAACCCTAAAAAAGGTAGATTCAAAGTTCATTAGCACTTACCAGGAAGATGAACCTAGAGGCTAGAATTCATCTGGAGCTAATCCACATCACTCAAAAACAAGTCAGTCAAGAATTTCAGAGGAAATTTATACTTAAAATACTCTGTTTTCCTGCAAGGTCACAAATACTTGAGGCAGTGACTTCATACCACAGAAGCCCAACAGGCTGACTGTAAAGACAAACACTGACACCATTTTGAAAATTCTCACTTTGTGTACTAATAACCCTTTAAAATTACTTAAAAACTGCTTCTCATAATTGCTTAATACCTTCTGCAGAAATCTCTAAGTACTTAAAAAGGACTTTTGATGACCTCTGGCTGCTCTTTTTTTAAAATCTGAAAATAGGGAGCTGTCAAAGCACAGACTCATTGAGATACCTTATTTTAAACAAACAAGCTCTGCCCCAAAGAGAGTTCAAGGCCCCAGCAGCTGTCCCACTAGGTCTCTGCTCCCTTTCTGGTGAGTATTCACAAGTCAGACTTGTTTCCAATGGAGACAGTAAACACACCAGGGAAACCAACAGCTTTCAGGAGATTTTGCTTCTGCTACATAACCACAACAGAAGTCCTCCTGACATACTCAGCAGCAACCCCTACAGCACCCTTTGCTACTAAACCAGATTTTATTGTTCTGAGGATTTCAAACAGAGGGTGGTCTCAGCTGCAAGCAGCAGTAATCGCCTCGTAAGCACAGTTTGCTGGTTACGGCTGGAGATCCGACAGCTTTCAGTAATAGTCATTTCTTACAAAATCGCTGTTACCATGAAAACAACTTCAGCATTCAAGCAACGAAGCAACATACAGCAGTAGGAAACGAGCACTAAATAAGAGGGAAGTAACACAGTGCCGAGCGCTGCCTGTCAGTGCTGCTGTGCGCGTTCGTTTTCTGAAAGCGCTTCAAATCAGCAGCTAGAAGAAAACATTAGGAGAGAAGGAGCTTTGGAGGTGCAAACAATAGCAGGTTTAACTTTCCTAACAGTCAAAATATGCCTAACAATTCTGGGGATATGGTGAGTCCCAAAATGGACAAGCTGACAAGGGGTTCTGGATTCAGGAGAAACACCTCGGTTAGGTCTTGGCAGCCAGCAACCACACCTCTGGGGCAACCAGTCTCAGCTCCATCTGTGTCTCTTGGCAGCAGCCAACCCAGAAGACCTGTCGTTGCACGACCGGCTGCTCGGGCCTGGGCAGACGAGCAGGCAGCACTGCAGCAGGACCAGGTTCAACAGGATAAGATCTGGAGAGAGTCTGTGGAGGCTGAACAGAGAGGAAGAAAAATCTGGTAAGTCATTTGCTCCAGTTCGTGCTGCTTCTACTCATCTTGACGATGGTACTGATGCTCCCTGACAGTCTTAGGGCTTGATCCAAAGTCTACACTATCAAAGGGAAAGTTCTTCTGCAGGGACTTTGGATCAGACCCTAACACCTTTCTTTCTAAGATTATCTCTGTTTCCCTTCCCTGGGCAAAACCTATGCTAATATCTCCTGGCATACTGGGCTTAAGCTGAAGAGAGATGCAAAGAATTGCACACTAATAGCTTTACAGAGATGTCCGCAATGAAGACATAAATGTGCCAACCTTTATATTTTACTGCAGACACACTGATATTATCACCTCTTCCAACATTCTTGGAAATGGCTGAAATGGAAGCTCAACAGAGTGTTCTGCCAAAGTACGATCTTGCACTCCCAGTCTGTAAACCTG